TCAAGGAGGCATTGAGCACCTGTTGGGGCCTTGGCCACCTTTTTCTCTGGCTGTGCCCTCAGCTTTGATCCACTGTCTAAGACCTCAGCTCCCAGGCATTGGCCCCAATTGGCAAGAGCCCCTCCTGGGGTTTTAGTTTTACCCCACCAGTCTCAGCCCCTCTAGTTTGGGGCTAGCTTCTATCACTTGCAGTGGGGAGTGCCAACCAGGCACCCCTACCCGTGGCCTCCTCCTCCCCTGTATCTACAATCCAGGCCTCCAGTAGAAAAAGCCCAACACAAAGCAGCAACCTAACCAGCCCTAACTTAAACATAAGCCTGTCTGGGACTTTGGGGCTCAAGCCTTGTCCCAAAGTACTTCTCTCAAGCTGGCTGCTCCTTACTGTAGCTAGCTGTCTCTTGAGAGCATGTTGTCCTCCCACAGCCAGAGCCCGACTGCCCCTGGTATTGTCAGGGACTGATGGGCTGATATGCTGATATGCCTGAGCCCATTCTTCTTCCAGGCATAAGAGCAGATCTCCTGCACCACAGGGCCAGGCGCAGCTAATTGCATTGTTAACTGCTTGGCGTTTTTAGTCCGAGGCTCAGTCCACCTGAGCAGCTATTACTTGCTGCCCTTTCTAGCCCAGGTTTCCTACCCTTCCCCACCTTCCCAGTAACAAGGGCAGGGGTTCCTTGTTACACACATGAAATAGGACTTTTAATGTAACATAGAAAAAATACATTTTGTTCAGTTTCCCCATTAGAAGCCATTTACCCTTCACTTATTTGCTTGCACACTTATCTGGCCAAATAAGTGCCCATGTAATGATCGCACAGATATTAACAGGATTGTGTCTTCCAACTTCCTGAATATATTCCATTATGAATATCTAGTATAACTGGTATTATATGCTAACATACATTGTGTTACTGATATTGCATTAGATTAAAAGCTTTTCATCCATGCTTTTTAATAAATGTCAATAAATACTATTGTTCCCATTGTACAGAGGAGGCAGTTGTGGTACCTTTACTCAAGGTCACACTGAAAGTCAGTGGAATAATAATAATAATAGAACAAAACCCTCAACTCCAGTGCTACACTTGACCCATTAGAGAAGATTTTCCTCCATTCTCTTGCTTAAATAGAGACGTATCCCTGAACCAGATGCACTGAAAACTCTTTTTATACAGATCACAAATATATTTTTTGTTCTATAACTAAAAACAACCTTTTGTAGGGTAAAATGGTTTGGTTAATTTCATCAACCACAATTTGTCTTTTTTGACTTTTTTGCTAATATTCTCTGTTCTTTCATATTTCACCCAGACCTGGAAACAAATGCACAAACTCTTAGGAGGAAAGGCACCTTCCTCAGCGTTTCTGATATGACTGAAGTAGAAACTACCAAAAATTTCATGAGGGAGGATATTTTTGTAAGATTTCAGTTTTGAAAATCTAACTTGGATATTGGTTCCAAATTTGTGGTAGTTTGCCCCCATTAAACTTCAGGTTTAAGTGTTTCAAAACTTTTCAGTCATCGGGTAGCTTTAAAATAAACAGATTTCTTACTGGTTAGGGAAGCTGTGGAGTCTCCTCCATTAGAGGTTTGCAAGAAGTGGATGGGCTTGGGCTAGGATCTGAGATGGGTTTGGAATAGTGACTCCTGCATCAGTTCAGGAACTGACCTCGGTAGTGCAAGTGAAAGGGAGGTAGCAGGGCAATATCCCTGGCTACTGTCTTTGGTACGGGTAGTGGGGAGGTGGGGATGCCCAAAAATAGCCCAGCACAGCAGCTGCCCTGCTTATACGTCTGACCTAGGGGGTCTGCAGACTATGTCTAAGGGGTCTGCAAAAGATGACTACGATCAATCAAAAGTATGTGATACCCACACTTAAAATTTAAAGTGGTCTGCACCTCCATTCAAAATTTCCAAAGTGGTCCACACTTCCATTCACATTTTTTTAGGGGTCTACAAATGAATAAAGGTTGAAAACTACTGATCTAGATTCTCTGACCTTATGATCCTTTGACTTCCAAACCAATTTCTTAGTAATAAAGTAGATGGAGGCCTTTGGTGATTTTTATTAATTTAAAACACTGGGGGTCAACCATTTTGGCAGATGTGCCATAAATTAGCCCGGACCTTTCCCCATCTGCCATTCCTGTCCCCTTCCCTTGCCTGATCAGTTGCTCTGTTTTCTGCTCTGAGCCCTGCATGCAGCCCTACCCAATCTGATGCCCTGCTTTCTGTTTCCTTCCCTATGTGTCACTTAGCTGTCTGTCCCCTCCCCAGTCTTCTGCATGCCATATGCAGAGGCTGCCCATGCCACTTGTGACGCCTGTGCCACAAACTGCCCACCACTGATTTGAATGTGTGGAAGCTTACCATTTTTGCAGTACAGCAAAAATTCACTTCCATTTGCAGCAAGAGTAAATATTGTTAGCTCTCAAGACTGTTAGGATTTGTTTGTAAATCGTTGGCTGCTGGTCAAAATTGGACAGTATGTGGACAAACACATTTCTTTGTCAGATCTGACAGACAGAAGGAGTCACTGTTTGTTTTCTTTTGAGGAGATCCTCGGTCTCTAAGCCTGAATCTGGAATTAAATCTACATACCAACAGCCCTAATGTGGAAGTGTGTTTATATGTTTGTCCCATTGTAAAAGTAAGCACGGCTCATAAAGTTTAGAAGTCAGAGTTCTGCATGCAGAGGATTTGCAGGATTCGGAGTGGAGACGTAAATGAGAACGTTGTCTCTCTCTCTCATGTTCATGCATCTCCGAGTATGTCAATGTTGCTGATTGTTTTTGCGGATGAGAATTTCTGATGCATGAATCACCACCATTCTAGCAACAGTGCTGCATTTGATCACCGAGTCCTAGACGGTTTTCAACAAGCAATTAGGAGATGGATGGAAAGATAATTTGTACATTTGTCTGTTTGTTGTTTTGTCTCAGGCTCTTCTGTAATCATTTAGCTAACTCCCTTCTTCTGCAGGCAGGCAGGAGGGGCCTGAGAAATTCCATCCCAGCCTCTTTCTGCACAGACAGAGTTTGCCCACTTCCTTTAGGCAGATGTTCCATGCACTTCCAGTATACGGCGTGTGCTTTGAATAGAGTGGGAGAAGTTTCTTCTGAACTGTCATGCTGCTACTTGTCCTCTGCCCAATGAAAACACTCTTCACCAACAATTACCACATCACTACAAACAGACTAAAGAGAGACATGATGTAAAAATTAAATTACTTAAAACATTTTTGGGCTAACTCTTGGCTTTATATAAACTCAGAGAGAATCCTATAAGGTACTGAAGGCAGATTAGAGGTTTGGGCAAAGCTAGAAAATTGCTGCCATTATATTGTTATTATTAACACCTTGTAATTAGCCCTAAGGAATCCTGAAGTTCTCTCTCCTGATTTGGCTTTAATGAAGGAAAATTGCTACCTTTGCAAGTTGGATGGCGCCCACTCTGATTAACTTTAAGTATATAGGACTATTATTTTGAAAATGTTTGTTGTCATGCGAATATTAGTATTGCATGTAATTGTGGGGGGGGAGATAGGGAGAGGGATGTGTGTTTTCTTTCTAGAGCATGATGAGTCGCACATTCACTTTGGTGAGGGTCATCCCTTTAAGGATCCAATTCTTTTCAGATGCCCCAGCCACAAGCTAATGATTTAGTAGGTTTTTGTAGTGAGGCCTGCCAGCTGCTTTACCTGGTGATTGCATTGGCTTCTTGAGTAATTGTTGGATGGAGTTGGTTTTATTATCACTTTGAAAGTCACCCCAGATGAATGAGATCATGTGTAATTTAGCACCCAAAGTATAATAGAGATCCTTTTACTTACATGTCCCACCCCAAGCCTTTCCTGATCTTTTTGCTGCTTTCACAGGCAACGGCTTTCCAATGAAATCAAGCCAACATTAATAAAGCATCCCTTCCATACATCTCCACTCCTTCCCTCCCACATACTATATGTTTTTATTACCTTCTCTGGGAAAAACTGACATTAAAGAACCTCATCTGATCTTATCTGTAATTAATTTGTATTTTGATCAAATAGAAAAAAGAATTTTTGCATGTAATGACTAACCTGTTCATTATTTTTTTCTTTTGAACCCCTATGACCGCTTAATAACTCATGCTGAAGCAGAACTGATTATGACATTTTCCCCCACCCACTATCCAGGAAGACTGAAGGTGTTGCCTCTCATACTTAAACAAATTGCTTCAGATAATGACTTTGTGCAAAATTAGTCATACATAATTGAGAAATTCTATAGATGAATAAAAAAGTAACTCTAGATGAAATGATCATTCTAGTGTTTAAGTTTACATAGGATTTACCATAACAATTCAGACCATCAGTCCATTTAAAATAATAACCTGCCTCTTATACGTTTCTAGGACCTCATTCAATTCCCATTGAAATCAGTGGGGAATTTTCTTTTGACCCATTTATAGGGAAGCCTATAGGAGCCTAAGGTACAATTCTGATCTTTTTTGTGTCAGTGTAAATGTGAGTTATCTTCATACAACAATCAGCATAGTTAACCCCAAGCATTCAAATATCATGTGACTGGCTTAAAAACTATGACGTTTAAAAAGAACTGAATTTATTTGATTTGTCTTCTGATTTCTGAGCCTTAAGGTCATACTCAGATCTGGTTTTTAAGCTTTCCTCTGAAAGTATTACAGGTAGAAGCTTACCCCCCTGCCCTTTTCTAGTTAAGATTCCCATGAAGACATTCCAGGAGCTTGGGCTTGGTGGGAAAAGCACCAGTGCAGAGCCTGGTAGCAAAATCATGAGAGAAATCCAGTGTGAGAAATGAGACTCAAGCCCTAAGTCTTTCATAATGAGCCTTAATGAACTATACAACATTATATATAAACAGGAAATATTCCTTTATGTCCCCCATAAAGCAATCAGCTTTTACCCCAAAAGCACTACCTTTATACAGTAATTGCCTCAGCTTGCATAGTTATGCATGCCGTTAGCAATTGTAAAATTATCCGGCTCTTTCTGTATAGCTAGATGAAAGAAAAAAGCAGGTAAACAACATTTAATGTGCCAACCATGTAATATATGGATTTTCCATGAAAAAAATAGAAAGAAAATAAGTTTAGTGTGAGGTTTGGGCTGTAAAGGTGTTTGGGAAAGAAGCTCTGAACTGGAGTTTTGTGTCAGCATATATAGGGGTCAGTTATACAACTCAACATATGGAGATGTTCAGATTTCAAAATCTGGCTCACTCCCATCTCTGAATGAGACATACCATGAAACAATCTACCACTGCCATGTCATAAAGAGAAGGAACCAGACAAAGTAACAAGTTGAAATTATAAACATTACCTTTATAATAATGGAAAAGCTATGTATTCAAAACAAGAATTGGTCTTGGGCATTGACAACTGAATGCTAATCACTTCTTTCACTTCCTGTGCTCAATGGCTTTGTAGTGTTTCTGTAGACAGCTAAAAAGAGTTCACGTTCCACCAGCTGAAGTGAATGAAGTGGTTCAGAGGTGGCAATGATGGGTAGATTGATACAGCCTTAGCATTTTTCCATTGACATCAGTGGGCATTAGCTCAGACCCATAGTTTGTAAGGAATTTTATAATCTTTGGAGCTGAAAAGTGGTGCATGGATTTTATTTAATGACATTCATCTTATAGCAATTAATGACATATGACTTAAGGCATCTTCTACTACTTCTGATACCTTAGACCCTATTCCTACAATAATTCAACAAAGACAAAACTAGAATTAGTCTCCCCCTGAAAATCTCTGGCCCCAACAGCCAAAACTATCTCTCTCTCCTTAAAAAAGCAGCCCCTTAGGTTATTGTGACCCAGGGTACCTACTCTGAATAATTTTTCAGGGTAGAGACATACATTAACAACATTCAGCATAAATCTAAGCGGAGTGAGACGGGCTGTTAAAGCTGTCAGCTCATGAGTCATGTAATGATTCCTGCTAATGCAGAAGGACAGTTTTTGATCGGAGCTTGTACAGGTTTCTGTCTCAGTGGCTGATGGACTAACAAAATACCAAGATGCAAACCAAGGAAAAAATATCCTCCCAGGCTCGTTGGATCTCTCATTTGCTTCTTATGGCAATTTCCCACCTTGCCCCTTGGGCATCACAGACAAGAGAAGAGCACAGCTGTTCCCATGGAAGGGAAAGTAGTGACTACACCACAGTGTTCTCTTATTGTGTTCTCACTTCTAATCCATCTCTGGCTGCTGTGCAGGAAATCTGATTCATCCTACTGAGGGGAGGGGAAGGTGGCAAGAGGCAAGAAATTAGGGATTCAATTCAGTGCCATTCAATTAAGCATGTTCTCTCAGAAAACCAGAGCTTATTTGTTCAACAAGTTCTGCTTCCCTGAGCAGAATTACTGTCTTCCTCTCCACAAATTTAACAGGCCGTGGAAGAGGTTAGGCTGGAACAGAGCAACATTGCAAATTGTACTACCAGTGCTAAGAAAAAGTGGCGTGACCACTGTGTGGCTGCAGCTGGCAGCCTGAAGAAGGCTCTGACTTCTGTGGGGTCTTCACTGGAATTCCCCCTGGATCTCAGATCATCATGAGCTTTGTGCATTGCACCCAACTTTCCTTGTCTTGCTACCAGCCCAACAGTTCCCCAGCCTGACTGTAGATTAAAAAAAACACATAGCACATTTCTGAAGGGCAGAGAGGGGAGTGCCTGGCCAGGGCTGGTTATACCTCATCTTTGATCATTCACAGATTGGAGCAGGTTTTTAACACTTGACTTCCATGTTTCGTGAAAGCATGACACTGGCCACTGAGTGTTAAAGACACAAACATTGTGTTTGTCCCTCTGCAGGTGTCAGTATAGTAGAAGGATGCATGGAAATGCTAGCATTTTCCATGGAAATGCTAGCATTTTCATCAGGGTTTGTTCCTGCAAACTGTTGGTATACATTTGTGCACTCATAATTGTGCACTTCCCCATGCAAAAGCCAGCTAGGGACTGGGATTAAAAATGTCCTCCCTTGAACCGTCTCAATAGCAAACCACTTACCAGTAATTACATCCTTAACATCCAGCACACAAGTTATTCTATTGAAATCAATGGTGCTAATCATTTGCTTAAAATTTCAAGACATGCATTAAGTTTTTTCCTGAATCACAGCCTTAATACTTACGATAGGTTGCAACAAGAGCTTTGAAAACTGAAGTCCTCTTTTTATCCATAGAGGTGAGACTGCATAGATAGTAGCACTACAAGCTGTTCCTACTCCTCTTTGCCTATATGCATTGATCATAATCTAGGGAAAAGACATTTGGACCATAACCTGGAGAAATGATTTACACATCAGTTTTTAATATCAATTACCTGCTTGGCCTCTTTTGAGGCTAAACAAGCACACCACTTGCCAGTCTGAGTGCTAGTAGTTTCTTAAATGTAGACAGCCCTGACACTGGACAGAGATACCAGCCCAGGCCACTCATCTGGCCTGTTCATTGTTTTACTTTTGATAAATCCCAACCACTTCTGTAAATTCCAGATAATAGGCTGCATAATACAACAGGCTTTTTTCTCCTGTGCTGATACTTGCTCATTTCCAAACAAGTTACAGAACATCCAGCTATTGGCTGTACAGGATGATAGAACAGAAGCTTCAGTGTCACGATGCCCATGAAATGAAATCGGCTTTGACTAGTTATTCCAAGGAACCGGGTGATTTGAGATGCTTTGGCAACTGGCTTTTCGGTCCCCTCTTCCAGCCATGAGTCAGCCACACAGATCAAGGAGAAAAGGAAGAAACCCACAAAGTACATCTATAAAAGTCTGCAACAATTATTTTGCAATGACTCAAAGCTACCGCGGATGCTGTCATCTTAGCATACTGCTTGGGTGCCTAGTTAAAAGCAATCTTTATATTAGAAGCCGGGGTGCTATGATCTTGCTAAGTCTCTATATGAAACTATGAACAAAAGACTGCTCAGGCTTTCAAGGCTTTTCTCTTCCCAACTGATGTTACATCATCTGTTTACACTAGGTGAAAAGGGAGATTTTTCGCTCTGTGAGTACGTGTGCTACTTAGCGCTGTTTTCATAGAGCCTGCATCCTTTCATCCCTGGCTTAGTTTAGTCCCCATTTCTAGTTGCTTGTGAAAGGGAGTGGTCTCCTCCCCCAAGTTTTAAGACCTCTCCTCATATAGCCTTGAAGAACTGATCATGATCGCTAAGTTACAAACCTATACTGCCAGGTGTCCTCTAATGCTACAGGTAAGAAGAGTCTTCTAAATTGCATTGCAAATCACTTTCCCTATAATAAACTCCATCCTGACTTGACCTGCTCCTTCTGGGATATTTTTCAGGGATGGACCTTGCTTTCATCTAGCATGTATTTGGTATCAATTAAATACTAATAACTAAGGATAAATAAGCCAGAGGCTTTGCACATTCTCTAATAAGGCAAAATTACAAAGGCATTTGCTTTTTCAAGGAATATATAACAACCAAGAGAAGAGCAGAATTGAACAAATTAGTTGTTTCCATTTATTGAGAAAACTGTTTTATTTCTCCTTTCCAAATTATCCAGAAGCCTATTGTGGTAGCATTGAGGTGATGCAGCTGTCATGGTCCAGGAAAAATTTGAGAGGCAAGGATTTTTGTAGGTATTATTTTTTATTGGATCAGTTGTGTAGTTGGGAGGTATATAGACAAGCTTTTGATGAGCTATGTACTCTTCCTCACCACAAAAATCCTTGCCAGGAGTCAACTGTAAGTTTTACAAATTTGTTCCTTGTTTGTTTTGGTTTGACAATTAGGAACATGTGCCAACAGGAAATGTCATTCTTCATCAATTGGACATCCATCCAACCCAAGGGTGGAGATTTTCAAGAGTATCTAAGTGATTGAAGGCATAATTCCTGATGTCTTTCCCCTTGATAAAACTTCCTAGTAACCTCCATTAATCAGTCTTTGACTTAAGCCCTGAAGTCTGCTGTTTCAATGGCTCTTCCACAACTTGTGTCTGTTCTTTTAATATTTATTCATAAAACTGGCAACTCTTGTTATCAGTATAGGATTATAGAATATAATTCCTTCATGAATTCTTGTAAGCTCGTGTCCCCAAGGAGCCCATGTGACAATATGTTCCACTGACTAACTCTGCCCAAGTTTCTTTCTTTTTCATCATCACCATATCATTTGCCATCTTTCAGTTTCACTGCATGCTCTGTGGTTTATTTTGGTTGTGTTTTCACTTTGCTTAATGCCTTTAAACATATATTAGCTTCTTGTACAATGATCACAGTGCTTTGTTTGGCCATATTTTCTGACACACATGACCTGATGTATAAGACAACATGAAGTCAAAGGGAAACAGATGCCTCTGATCAGCTTAGACTCACCCATAGCAAGAAATAAGGACGCAAGAGTAGAGAAACAGGAGTCCATTGTTAGAACTTCAGTGGTGTTGGTTCAAGCTGTACTTTCTTCTGTCTTTGGAAAAGTAAGACTTCATTTTTAGTATAAACAGCTCTAACATGGCAAGCTAGAATTTTTCAAAATTTTGAGGCATCCTGAGGCCTGAAAATTCTCCAGTTATCTCCCACCTGGCACAGACATCTATTCAGTTGATGGAAGGAAAGTCCTTTACTGACCTCTACAATATTCTTTGTAGATCATGAAGGATATGATTTTCTCTTATGTTTGCCTGAATAATTACCAGCCTGGTTATTTTGTATGCGGAAAAGTTTTATTTACCTGAAAGAAAAAGCACACATGCACACATTTTTACTTTTTGGGCATGTCTACACATGCATATTTACTGAGCAGTAACCAAAAATTACTGTGCAGTACAGGTATGCATCTACACATGCATACCCATACTGCACAGTAATTAGAATGACTTACGCTGACTTGAGCATAAATCTGATACCTGCATCATGCAGGTATCAAATTTACACCCAATTAGTTACTGTGCAGTAATGCATGTATAGACACTTTACTGCACAGTAACACTGTGTGTGTGTGGACTGACGTGAGACTAACTTTAGTCCCATGTCAGTCCACACACAGCATTACTGCACTTTAATGGCTGCTCGTGTAAACACCAGCCTAATAACTGCTTACTGTGCAGTAAGTTACTCCGCAGTAAATGCACGTGTAGACACGCCCTTTGAGAAAAGGTCTGGAGTTAAGAGGAGTAGAGCTAAGGACAGTCATGTCAGGTTTAAGATTAAGATACAAAGTGATACCTACAAACCCTGTGAACAATTCCCTCGTAAACACCCACTCCTTTCTGAGGTTAAACAATTAAATTAAAAGATCACCTTAGCACTAGCATTAGCTAAAGAAATTATAAGATCAGAGGAAAGAAGGTCTGGAAGAGACCTCACAAGGTCATCTAGTCAAGCCCCTTGCTCAAGGCAGGTTAGTCTCAGCCAAGTGTCTCTCTAACCTGCCCTTGAAAATTTCCAAGGATGGAGACTCCATAGTTTCTCCAGATAACCTGTTCAAATGCTTAGCCACCCTCACAGCCAGAAAGTTCCTTCTAATTTCCAGCCTAGATTTCATCTACTGCAGCTTGAGGCCATTGCTCCTAGTCCTGTTCCCTACAGCCACAAAGAAAACCCTATATCCACCCTCTATTCACCTTTCAAGTATTTAAAGATTGTTATGAAATCCCTCCCTCTCCCCTTTCCCCCTGCCCCTTCAGTCTTCTCTTCTTAAGGCTAAATAACTCTAGTTCTTTCAACTTTTCCTTATAAATCTTGATTCCCAGACAATAATTTTTCTCATTCTGCACTGGACTCTTCCCAATCTGTTCATATCTTTCTTGGAGTGTGGGATGCAAAACTAGACACAGTACTCCAATTGAGGCCTCATCAATGCTCAATTGAGTGGAAGAGTCACTTAACTTGATTTGCAAGTGACACTCCTGTTAATATGACCAGTATGCTGTTGGCTTGTGTTTCTTCAGCAGAGATATAAAGGAGATCAAGGACTGTGGCAGACATGTTGAAGGTAGAAAAATAACTTTTCTTACTATGACTGTTAATGTTACTCCTTGAAAATTTTTGTGAACTGGTATGTTTTATATTGCTGGACTGAAGTAAGAGAAAATAATTTATAACACATACAAAGAAATAGCTGACAAACCAGTTATTCCCCTTTTAAACTGGTGTTAAAACTAAATAATTTGGCACATTTAACTTCTTTTATTTTTGGTGGGCTTGCTTTATCGAAAAAAGATAAACAACAAAAATAAAGGTCATAAACAACTTCAGTTGAAAATACAGAGTTCTCATTTGAATTATTGCTGCATAAGTGACCAGGAAAATAAAAATCAAGTAATCTAAATGAGAAAAGACAAAGAGCTCCAATACCTTTAAAAATAGAAAGCATTGGACACGTTTTGGCTTGCAGAATAATCTAGAACAGTTAATGACTTTGGGAACATTAATTTAAAAGTTACTATTGGTTTTTGGGACCTGAGAGTTAGCATCTATTTGTGAGAGGGATACTGAAATACTTATGTTTGGGCAAAGCCCTGGCTGAGGGAGGGGTGGAAGGGTCAGTATGGAAGACCTGAAGAAAATTGGCTATATAATATTATCATTTTTTCAAGTTCTTGAGCTTTGGCAGAGCTCAGACTAAAACAGATTAATCTGACCCTGTAAACATGTTGAGATTTGACCATGTTTAGTTTTGAAAGAATTATCCCTTTGGCAATGTAATAAATGCTTTGAAATAGCATCTGATTCACAGTGAGTAAGAATAATGGATTTAATAGGGCCATTGTTTTGGAAGGAACTGCCCTTCCTCAGCCCTGCAGTCAAAGTGGGTAATTGTGGCCATGTCCCTCATTGTTCCCATCTTTCACTCTGTTGTTTGGTGTAGGAGCCCCTGTTGTAACGTAGGGACTGTTCACAATAGAGGTTGCTGTACATGCTTCCTCATGGATCGGTGTTGGAGTCCTGAAAAATGGTTCTTAGGATTGTCTGTCTTTTCAACAAAGATGCTTTTGCTGCAAGTCATGGCTATTCATTCTGACAAAATCTCAGTCCTCTAAACTTCCTAATTTAGTTTAAAACGATTCTCTTTATGGCTCCACATCTGACTTCTGCCTCTTCTCTCTTTTGCACTTCTGTCTGTTACCCAGTACAGTTTATTCATAGTAGATTCTTTGTTGGTGGTCCTGTAGGATGAAAGATCCTAAGATTTTAGAAGGACTCTATCATCCAGAGAGTCCCAATGACTCATTTGTTTTTTGGAGAGCAGCCTATGAATCTCCTCAAAGTGCTACATATTA